CAATGGTGCAAACCAGACAAGCCCAGGCCCCAGAAATGCTGCCCTACTGAAAGTAATCAACAGGAACACAGTCTTCCCTAGAGGCAAATCCTAGAAGTCACGGCACATCTAGAACTTCATGGCATCCCAGTTTGCTACAACTCTTCCCACTGGAGCAGCCGGAAGGAGGCAGATCCTTGTGAAATGAGCAAGATTCAGGTGCTTTAACAAAGCAAGTCCCTGACTGAGATGGAAAACAGATTAGGAGGCAGAGGAGGAAGCAGCAAGGAAGAGCCACATCTCAGGTGCTTGCTGTTTAGATTTTATATGACCTGACATTACCAGGTCATTACTAAGTAAAATAAATGCAAATATTTTTATTTAAAAGAAAATGTTAGAGAAGAAAAAGAAGGAAGAAATTCTGGACATTTCCTATAAAGCCATTCTGTTGAGCAATTTCTATCTTCTTGCAGATTTCTCATTATGAAATGAGAACTGTGTCCCCTGGACAATAATCTAGCCCCTGGAAGCTTATTTCAAAATTCAATGACCACCATAAGAAAAGCAATTACCTCCTAATTAAACATTAAGATGATTGTTTAATGTATCAACATACTGCGGCCAACAGTTACAAAATAAAAACAAAGCCTCCCCACTTCCCCTTCACACACTTCAGTCTTCTTCATACTCTGATGGCAGATTACTCATACTAAAAGACAGTTCTGCTCATGCCTTGCCCTCATTCAAACCCTTTCAATGGCTCCCCATTGCCTTCAGGATAAAGAACAAACTCCTAAGTGGGTGTTAAAGATCCTTCTCCTTTTGGCACTGACCTACTTGAATAGCCTGCCTCATTTCCTCCTAATCACCTTCAAATAACCCCTGCTCCCATCAGAATGCAGCGAGAGCCCCTGCTGCGCCTTTATCTTTTTCCCACCTCTGCCTATAATGTTCTTTACCCACCCCCAAACTCTTCTTGTCCAAATCCTGCCTCCCTGTGGGACTCACTCCAATGCTACCTCTTCCACAAAGTCCTCCGTGATGTCCTCCATAACACAGGCTGCCCACCACCTCCAGGCTTCCACAGCCTTTACTGGAGATGATTCCCCTCTGTTGATCCCTGGCTGGCTTGTCTTACAGTTATTTCTGAACATAATCTCTACCTCCTGATAAACTACAAACCAATACATTTTGCCCTCACACTGAACATATGTCACGCAAACAGAAGGTACTAAACAATCCCGAATGACTAACAAATGGCAGCAAACAGTACAAAATGGTCAGCAGCCACCCAATTTATCACTGTGCTTAGAGAGGGAGCAAGTCTGGAAACACAGGAACTCTATCCAGTGGTCAGAACATTTGGTCTACAAACCTGTTTCTACTGAAACCCCCTAATTACTCTCATTATTTACCCAGAGATCTCTCAGTCCTGCAGGATGTGCGTGTGTGAGAGCTTGTGCACGTGCATGCATGTGCGTGTGTGTTGTACAGGAGGAAGGAAGCCGAGTGGAGGAGGGGGATGCTCATCAAAACCTGGCAGCAGCAACAAAGAAGCTCCTTCTTCAGGGAAGACAGCTCAAAATCCACGAGAACCAAGCGTGTCACTGCACTTGCTGTCAAGCACAGAGAGGGAGGGTACGATGAAGTCCTGCCAGGCAGCGGTTCTGACTTTACGGAGTCGCTGCAGAGCTCGTTAAAATACAGTTCTCCTATGCCCAGTTCTGTGTCTCTCAGTTGGGGTGGGGCTCAGATTTTGCACTTCTAACAAGCTCCAGATAATGCTGATAGGGACCTCACTTGAGGGATCCTCCGTGTAGATGGGCAAATGAATCAAGAGGTTCAAGGTAGGAGGATCAGCTGTGGTACATGACACAGGCATTTTGTTGTTGTTGTTAAAGATTTTATTTATTTACTTCAGAGAGAGAGAGAGAGGGAAAGAGAGAGCCTCAGCAGAGGTGGGGAGGCCACAGAGAAGCAGCCTCCCCTCCCTAATGAGCGGTGAGACTGACACAGGACCCCATCCCAGGACGGTGAGATCATGACCTGAGCTGAAGGCAGAAGCTTAACTGACTGAGCCACACAGGAGTCCCTCAACACAGGCATCTGGAAAGCCAAAAAAGCTAATTTTTAATCAGATTAAGGCAGGCACATGGAAAAACAAAATCATACCGAGATTTTTCCCTCTCCCTTGTAATTCAGAAACTAAATACTACAGGGTAGCCTGGAGAGTTACGGACAAGGGAGTTAGGAGACCTGGGTTTGAGTTCTGCTTCTGTCACTAGTTAGCTGGGTAGCTAAAGACCACTCGCTAACTTCTTAGGACTGCACCATTAGAACCACAGAGATGCTCAACCAGAAAAATCTCCAGGATCAGGTCTTACATCCTATGATCTCATAATGTAGAAAACCTGTTGGTAATTTAGTTCCAAAACGAAGTATTACCCATCTCTATAGAAGATGCTTAAAGATACTGCAATATGGGGCCCCTGGAAGCTCAGTTGGGTAAGCTTCTGCCTTTGCCTCAGGTCATGACCTCAGGGTCCTAAGATGGAGCCCCACTTCAGGCTTCCTGCTCAGCAAGGAGTCAGCTTCTCCCTGTCCCTCTGTCCCTCCTCCCACTTGAACCCCGATGTACTAGAGTGGTCTCACTCTCTCTCTCAAATAATCTTTTTTTTTTTTAAAGATACCGCAATTTGGAAACTGAAAATGAGAAATAACAGTTAAATGGGAGAAGAACCCAGAATAAATAATTGTAATTATGAAGACTGAAAGAACCTTTACTTAAACAGGTTTCACAAATAATGAGCATTCAGATTATACCATGGAAATAGCTTTTAAAATATACAGCAAAAATACTCAATTGGGAATACTACTCAGCCATAAAGAATGAAGTCTTGCCATCTGCAATGATGCTGATGTTGCTAGAGAGTACAAAGCTAAGTGAAATAAGTTGGAGAAAAACAAATACCATATAATTCTACTCAAATGTGGAATTTAAGAAACAGACCAACGAGCAAAGGGAACAAAAGAGAGAAACCAAGAAACAGATTTAATTATAGACAACAAAATGATGGATACTAGAGGGCCGGTGGTTGGGAAAAATAGGTGATGGGGATTAAGGAGGGCACTTATCATGATGAGCTGGGGTCTCGAATGGAAGTGCTGAATCACTATATGGCATGCCTGAAACTAACATAACACTGTATGTTAACTAACTGGAATTAAAAACTTAGGTTAAAAAAATTAAGTTAAAAAATGCTACAATTTAAAAAGCCCAGCTACCTTTCTGCAACCCTCTAGAGGAAGCAGGACATGTTACAGAATGAGAAAACAACTCACCAGTGGAGCAGAGCTGAGGGGAGTCGTCCAAGGAGAGAATCCGGCCCCCCTTCCCCGCGCTGGCCCCCTCTGCCTCCCCACACTGCTCCTGGGCCTCCCAGCACACAGCTCTCTTTAAAGAGAAAAGGCCGCCTTCCCAAGATCGTGGCCACAGGAATGGGAGTATCAAGTGACCTTCCCATAGCTCGTCAATGAGCCCCCGTAAAGCTGATGACCCGGCCATGTGGGCCGAGCGGGACGGTACCCGCAGTGGCCCGGGGACCCCCTCTCCTGCGGATCCCGGTCAGCCTCAGCCTTGCCCTCCACAGGAGTCACTCTCTCCCCTTCAGCACCACAGGCCCAGAAGCCCTCCAGATGCCGCTCTTATCTCCCTCAGCCATGTGAATGGGCCCAGAGAGGAGACCCTACAGGTTCTTTGCGGCACCCTGGCTGCTACTGGGCCTTGGGCAAAAGAGACTGTGACACCTGAGGTGTCCCAAGGTGGCCAGTGTGCGGCTGCAGCGCTGACTGGGTGCCTGCTCCCCAGCTAGGTCTGCCCAGCTGCCTCGGGTTAAAGTGAACTGCATAGCATTAAGTCGATAAGCCTCCCAGAGAGGTAGGTCACCCTTAAACACTTTATCCCCCCTCAACAGATGGGGGAATGACGCCACGGGAAGATTAAATGACCTGCCCGGCCTCACACAACCTGCCGCAGGTGGAGCCCGTGGCAGTCCCAGCCCTGGAGTTGGCTCATGAATGGAGAGAATGCTCTGGAGAAAGCCCTTCCGGCAGTAGGAGGCCTTGTACCCCAGAGGTGAAGACAGACAAAAGCAGAGAGGTCACATGCTGAAGACCCTTCCATGGTCCCTCTCTGCCCGTTTCTCCAGATCTCTGTGACAGAAGGACTTTCAACCACAAGGATGGGTGGAACGGGGTGTGGGTGCTGAGAGGACAGGACAGGCCAGCAGGGAGTGAGGGGCCTCCGTGATTGGCATCAGAGAAGGGGTCAGGCCCAGCGGGGTTCTATCCGGGCCCTGGGTCCTCTGCACCCCACAGGGGCAAGTCACTGAGGATACAAGAATGAACCAGACAATCCCTGCAGTCAAGAAAGGCCACTGAGCAGCGTACTCAAACCCCTAAAATACCAAGTAGAGACTAGAAAGGGCCACAGCAGATGGGCTGCTAGACTTGGATGATGGGAGCTCAGGTGCAGCTGTGGACACAGGAGGGTGCTCTCAGGGCAGGCTCCGTGGAGTGGGGGACCAGGCCACGGAGGGCAGGAGAGTGACATCTCAGAGCTGGGGAGGACAGAGAAAGTGCACAGAAGGGAGATGGCCCAGGGCTACCCTGAAGACCAGGAAGATGGATGGAAGGACTAAGGAGATGTGCAATAGGGTTGAGGGACTTCTGGTAGGACAGGCAGGTAGAAGCCCTATCACCAAAGGCCGTAAGTGTGGGACTAAGGAGATTGACCTTCGCTTCTGGCCACAGTGCTCAGCCCTGCACCTGCTCACAGCAGGCCCCCATTAATGCTGTGGAGCAACATGCAGGAAGGCAATCCCACGTGTGTGAGATGAGGGACAACTGTAGAAAAATATGCCACAAAAAGTGCCTCCACTCTTTTTATCAGTTGGTATCTGGTCAGGACCATTCCTAAGTTTAGATCAACTATCTGAAGCATTTGCTATGTTCTGTCCCAAATGGAGACCGTAAGACTTGCCAACGGCTTCTCACCCAAGAACGCTGTGAAAATTAATGATGAGGTAATGTCTGAAATGCTCAGAGCTCTTCAGAGATGTGTGGCAAAGGCAGGCATCACTAGTATTAATATTTAAAGAGACTCTACTCAGCTCTGATCTCTTTTTCTGCAGACTAATGTTACGTCCACAGGATAAGGTGATGCCAGATTGGCGTCTACATAAACCTTTCCAGCAGACAGCACCCAAAGCAGGTGCTTGACCCTAAGCCCCTTTCTTACATGTTGCCGATGGGACCCATGATCCCAATGATTCAGGGGCTGGCTTCTGACGGGTTATCCAGGGCTGCCAGAGAGCAGGGGCAAAATGAACCAGGCGGAAGGCAGAACAAGACAGATTTCAGAAAGTGGTCTTCCTTGAAACTCCAATTTTTTAGCACTCAAGAAAGTCCAGTGAAGACTTCAAGGGGAATCATTTTAGCAAAACCCACATCCTACACCAGTTAACATTTTTAGGTCTAATGCAGTGCCCAAGAAAGGAAGAAATAAGAATGCCTCCTCAGGCTCAATTACAAATGGAGTGGAAAGGATAATTTCAAAAGTTCAAGGGGAAAAGCAATCAATCAATTTCCTTCCCCCAAAGCTTTCACATCTATAAATACACTCACACAAATGGACCCAAGACCACTCTTCCTTATGAAAACACTACCTGTCTGGCATTTGCAAGATAAATGATGTGCCCATCTTGCTTCCAACGCACTGAAGCTCAAAGAATGCCCTCCAGTTGCTTCTCTCTTCTTAAATAACACTCATCCCTGCACCATTATAAAAGTCATACATGAGTCTGGTAGAAAATTTTGAAATTATTCTTCTTTGGAAAGAAGAAAATAAAAATTATCTGCCTCAATCTAGAAGTTGCTAATTACCCTTCCAGCCTCTATGTGTGAAAATACATATTTTCAATGTAATTGGGAACTTTCTGTATGTGTTGGCTTATAGCCTGTTTTTCCCCCTGGAACAATACCTCTTAAACATTTACCTATGTGTTTATTATTGTACAACATTATTTTGTATATCTTATTGATAGGATTGCCATATTTAAAGCTAACACCCTATTGCTGGCTATTTGGTCTGTTTTAGCAATGTCTGCATTACAATATTGAAATATATCTTTACATAATACACTGCTAATTATTCTCTTAGGATAATTTCCTAGGCGTGGCGCTGCTGGATGAAAAACTACACAAGTTTTTACAGCCTTAGATCTAGACAAATTGCCCTTCAGAAGGGCTATTGCAGGCTCCCTCCTTCAGTCATAGAAGAGCTACCTCCCCTAATTGCTCACTGACCCCTACTTTAGTAAGTTTATAAAGGGAATGTTGCCCTTATTTGGGTGTTGCCTTCTTTGATTACTCCAGAAGCAGAGTTTTTCCCAAATGCTCTGTGTCTACAGTGTTGTTGTTTTTCAGAGGCTTTTTTTTTTTTTACTGTGTACATTCTATTCATTAGAAAACCAATGTCCTCTTCCCCCTCAAAGGGCGTTCCCCCCCACCCCACCTCGGTGGCTCAGCACCTACCATCCACATTTTCACCTTGGTGCCCTCCACTCCTTTCTCAGCATACATTTCACAGTTCCAGCAATTAAGCCAGACACAGAACCCAATGATCAGTTATTCAGCCATCAGTTTATTCACCTGATTATCTCCTGGGGTCTGGAATGCTTCAGGAACCATACTGAGAGAGAACTGTAAACAAAACTATGAGAAGCCAGGGGAGGGAGGGTCAATGAGGCCTGAACTTCTGTTCAGGCCTGAACAGAAGTACACTTAAATTGAAAGATACCTCAGAGTTTTATTGATAGATGAAGGGAAAGAGCAGGCTAGGCAGAGGGAATCACATGAGCAAAGGTCCTGAGGCCTGTTGAAGCATCATATAGGAAAGAAATATTTTCATTCTTTTTATAAAATTCCAGTGTAGTTAACATACTACTATAACAATAGTTTTCAGTGTGTGATATAGTGATTCCATTGTATACAACACCCAATCAGTGCTCATCACAAGTGCACTCCTTAATCCCCATCACCTATTTAACCCATCCTCCCACCCATGTCCCCTCTGGTAACCACCAGTTTTTTTCTCTATAGTTAAGAGTCTGTTTCTTGGTTTCTGTCTCTTTTTATCCCCCTTTGCTCATATTTTTTGTTTCTTAAATTCCACATACGAATGAAATTATAATGGTATTTGTCTTTCTCTGATTGACTTATTTTGCTTAGCATACTCTCTAGCTCCATCCATGTCATTGCAAATGGCAAGATCTCATTCTTTTATGGCTTAAAAATATTCCCTTGTATATATATACCACATCTTTTATCCATTCATCTACAGATGGACACTTGGGCTGCTTCCAAATCTTGGTTATTGTAAATAATGCTACTATAAGCATAGGAATGCATGTATCCCTTTGAATTAGGGTTTTTGTATTGGGGAGTAAATACCCAGAAGTGTAATTGCTGGATCATAGAGTAGTTCTATTTTTAACTTTTTGAGGAATCTCCATACTGTTTTCCACAGTGGATGCACCAGTCTGCATTCCCACCAACAGTGTAAGAGGGTTCCTTATTCTCCATATCCTCACCAACATTTGCTATTTGTGTTTTTTATTTTAGCCATTCTGACAGGTGTGAGGTGATATCTCATTGTGGTTTTGATTTGTATTTCCTTGATAATAAGTGATGTTGAGCATCTTTTCATGTGTCTCTTGGTCATCTGGATGTTATTTTCATTCCTAAGACATGAGAATGAGGGGCTGGGGTTGAGAATTAAAAGTTGGCCCTTGCTAAATTCACCTGCCAACCTGTTCTTTTCCCTGCACCTTGACTTTGCTTGAAATCCCTGGCCATTCTCCAATACAGACTCTTCCAAAAACCTTCTTGAGAATCACCCTCACCATCCTCTCTCCAGGCCTCTCTGCCTGGAGCTGAAATCCTGGCACTCACACCAATGTACTCAGCAATCTCCAATGAATAGATGGCTCTGTTTGCTTATTCCTGGACTAAGTCTTATCAGTCCAGCTGGAAAGAAACTTCTGGATAGTGATATATTCTATCATACCCATAGCCTTTCAACACTGGGCTTAACTTATAATAGGCAACCAGTAAAAGCTTCTAGACTCTAACCAAATTACGTGGGACAGAATAAATACAAGAGAAGGGATGGGAGTGCACAGGTCGTGTGCTTCTAACTATCATCCAGACAGCTGGGAACATTGAGATGGTCTTTGAAAATTAGCTTCTGAACACAATCATGACAAAAAATAGATTAATTCTCTTTAGGCGTGTAATTCTGCATCTGCTTAGACATTTCTCAGTTAGGCACACAAACGATACTTGTTAAACTATGCTGCGTATCCCAAGAGCTTCTGTGCATAAAGGTCAATGTATTCTGGAGATTTGGATTTCTTTTTCTTTGCAGGAAAGCAGGAGGAAGAGAGGAAATAAGGTCCCTAATGCATGTCATCTCTGCTGGGAATTTCCATCTGATAATTCCAATTGAAAGCGAAAATCTTAATGCCACCTGGGAGGAATCAGTCTCCATGATTAATGCCTTCGTGCCAGCAGCAAACATTTCTAGATAATTCTTCCCTGAGGCCGAAGAGCCCATAGATTCATCAAGTGACTAGTCTCTCCCTGTTCTGGTTCAGATTCCCCTGGCTCTGGATTCATCCCCTACCAGAGCTCTGAGCACACTGCTTTGCTTGTTTGTTGCCACATTGGGCTGTGACCTCTGCAACAAGACTGGTGACTTTTTCTCCATCCCTATGTGCCCTGGGGCCTAGAACATTCACCACCTCCCCCCAAAGTGGATGGTCAATCTATGTTATGGAATTAAATGCAGGGGCCCTTAAGGACCTTAGAAATAACCCAGTCTGCAGATTAAAAAAAAAAAAAAACTGAGGCAGGGGAAGCAACATCTTCAAATATACACAGTTAGTTGATAATAATCAGTAGGTGAAAGAGAGGAAGAAATCAAAGATGGTAGCAATGCTTGAGGAATTAGGAGGCTGAAGGGCTTGATGGAATTGGAAAGGATGGAGGGAAACAAAGTTTGGTTTTAGACAGCCTCTAACTCATAGAAGCTGTCCCTCTTCTCCTTGTTAGCCCTTTAGCTAACATAAAAAGGAGATTAACATTTATTGAAAATTTACCATGGTTAGGTAGAAGACAGTGGTTGTGTCTTCCTCATGTCTTCTGCAATTTTAACATTCACAGATGATCCACTAAGTAAGCAAGGAAATAATGTGCCTGAGGTCACACAGCTAGGAAGCCCAGGTCTCACTGAGTCAAACTCAGGCACTTTGCCTGCTCCCCACTGACTCTCTGATCCTTGTCCTGAGGCTACAGGGTACCAAGGAAGAGCCAGGCAGACTGAGTGAGTGAGTTTACAGGTGGCCTTGCCCATGTCCCAGGACAAGAGACAGCACCTCTAGAGCCTGAATGTTAGGTCTGCAGCCTCCCTGCCTCCCAAAAGTGCAGAGAACAGATACCACTCCGTGCTAGCACTTGGCTGACAGGTACCTGCAGAAGTAGGTAAAAGACAGAGAAACACAGAGGCCTTAACATTGCCAGGGTACCATTGGTGACCATAAAGAGCAATGAGGGCAGCTGGAGTCAGATGCAAGGCAGGCAGTCATCATAATGACATCTTTCATTTCATCGGTCAGCACTGTATACCAAGTCTGTGCCCAGGACCAGGCATCTTCTCAGTTCTGGACTGAACCAGACTGAGCCCTTGCCTGAGAAGAGCTCATACTCAAGTGGGGCAGGTTACATGGAAACACCTCTCAGCCACATGATCTGGGGAGTTGCTCCTCTAGCCTGGAAAAGACTTCCTAGACAAAGTAGGGCATTTTGATGTGGGGATATTTGTAGGCAGCTCCATCAAGCCTTGTCAAAATGGGAAATCACTCTTTTTTAAACCCAGTAAGCAAAATAAGCAGAGTTCTCTCAGCTGCTCCCCACCCCTGCCCTTAGGGGTACAAGCAGTGAAGTTGGAATATCTGCCTTCCTA